TATAAAAAATTATTTTTATGTTTATCTATTTCATAGTGCATATAACGTAGTGTTCATTCAACTCGTGTATTTCTATAGATGAAGTCATAAGACAGGTGACTTTAAACTGTACAGAACGAGGTTACATGTTGATCCGGATTCGCGATGAACTCCAGATGACTATCGATGGCTATAAAGAAGTGTATGAGAGTGCACTAGCTCATAGGATTCGAAAGTCATTACAGGCAAGTGTTATAAGCACGCAGGTAAAATAAATATTAAAACATTGAACAAACGTTAAACACTACCTGGGCCTTACATTTTGGAAATTCTCTTGCTGTATAGCTTTATTTCGTATTCAGTTATTTTGAGATAATTGCCTTCGTGCAACTAGGTCAACAACTTTCCTTTTCTTTTTCTCTTGAAGGAATATCCTTGTTCCCACTCATCTTTAGGTGAATATTTTATATGGTAGAACCCAACATTCTGTGTCTACTTGTAAAAATAATTTGTTCCAACTGTCATTTTACTTGATTTCTTTCCTTGCTTCCTTGTATTCATTTCGTTATTGGATTTCTCAAGTCTAGTCTACCTGATGAAGATCCCTTTTTTATTTTCTTTGGGCTGCAACATAAGTTTTATGTCTTCCGTAAACTTGAAAAAATGTGTTTTATCCCATTTATAGTTATCTTTGAGTATGCAGCTGTCACAATCTTCCTTCAAAATTCGTTCACTATATCTGCTCCTGCTTTAGCAGCCTAATCTATTATGGATGGACGAGATGACCAAAGTAACTCGTAAAGTTAACTCAAGTTGTATTTCTTACAGGGCCATCTACCTCCTGGGTTCTGGCTGCATAATAGAAGTTGACTCGACGCTTTATCAATGATTATGTAATTATATATGCTAACTGTGTATTCATTCAATACTTTTCAGTCAGGTATGTTATGACTAATCGCTTCTCGTACAAATGTAATTTCTATATGAGATTGGGACACTAACTTGTATAGTTATTCGCACTTAAAAAATTCATTTTTGATAGTTATTATGGTACTTAACCTATTTCATTACGAAATTGAATAGTGGATAATCAAGTAAATAATATGATAACACAAATAATAATAGTAAAATAATATCAGTGTAACGGTATAATTTAAACAATATATCCCTAAACTTAGTTATCAAACATTATTAACATGAATAATACAATGACTGGCAGCTAAATAACTATACAATTTGCACATCCATCTCTTCATCATTTCTCAAAGGTTGTTCGATCATCAGTTTTACATGCTGTAAGGCTTTTAGATGGCGTCCAGCTCCTAGAATTTCCCTTTCTTTTTCTCTCCAGGATCGCTCTACTCCTGGCACCTTCCTGTTAAGTCCCCTGTAACTATCAATATCTCACCTACTCATTTAACACTAGTCTAAAACATATTAAGATAAACTTCGAATATGTTAAAATCTGTGTTAGATGACCAATAATACGAGTGAAATTGGAACCCGTACATAGTGACTTATTCGAAACCCACCGAGTTTACCAAACTGGTTTCCATGACTGGTAGGTTTGAATTAATGATTCCCGCCATTCCCACCCTTCCCGGTCCAGAAACCGAGTTTAGGAAAAAAAGCAAGTGATAAAATGCAAAGGAAAAAAAGCATATGGAAAGAAGTGGGTAAGTCGTGGATGTCACTCTGCTGTACAGTAGGTTACAAGTGGGTTACCTACTGTAATGTATGAAATTAAATTTGAATCCAATGATATATCATTGTATAAAATTTAAATGCTTGAAAAAAAAAA